AAGAGAGACCGAATGGAGTGAAGCTCCCCAGACTGAGCCAGAGAGGTGAAAGAGGAAGGGGGGTGACTGGGCCGCGGCGCACACAGGCGCCCAGGGGCAGGGGAGGGCGGCGCGGTGAGATGGGATGGATGAGTGACGTGGCGCCAGGGCCTGTACCTGCTCCTGCTGCGCTGGCGCCGGCTCTCTCACAGCCGCTCCCCTCCGCCTTCTTCCTTTTAAGCGGAACCACCATGGGAAACCACTTTTCAGGAATGTCTTTCGGGATAGTCATTTTATCCTATTTTTTTTTTCTCCGTATTCTCTTGCTGAAATCCTGCTTTGGTGACTGCCCTGAGCCGTTTGTTCTCACATGCTGTCCGGTACCCCCAACAGAAGCCTCCCCCCACCCCACCCCCGACACACACACACGAAGTATCAATCAATCATTGCCCCCTCCTCCCCCTCTGTTCTGCCGCAGGATGGCTGAGGTCATCTGCCCAGCGCACTGCAGCCCTGCGCTCTGCTGCTCTGATATTATAATTATTTTATTCTAATTAGCAATAACAGACCAACGTCCCGGCTAGCGCACTCCTGCTTACTCCTACCGAGAGAAACGGAGGGCCAGTTGTCTCGCACTGATTCTCAGCTACAAGACTCCCGTTCTCTCCCTTAACCAACTGCCAGATCGGCTAAACTAACGAAAATCCCGACTGAAGTCGTTCAAGATCCAGTTTCCATCTTCCGACTCGCTAGTAATCATTTGGAAAAAAAAGTCCGAGAGGGACCCGGTCGATACTGCTCCTAATGTTTCCGCCGTTATTATTGCCGTCCTCGCTTTGCGGTGGTCTTAAATTGTCTTTAGAAATGCTCTTGTGCGCACCAAGGAAGACAAACTACACGAGGATTAAACTGAACAGTCCCTTCGCTCGCTGCCCGAGAGTGCTACACTGCGAGCGCAGGTTCTTAAGTTGACGCCGCTTTAAAAATAATAACACACACTGGAGGAGAGCTCACGATGGTGTTATAGACATTACATAATCAAGGCAGCCTGTGATTGGTGGCTAGCTGATCCAATACAGAGACGCCCTTAGCGTTGCCACGGCAACTGCCTCTGCAGGGGAGGAAGCGAGCGAGCGAGCTGCGGTTAAACAAACGAAAACAGGTCAGTGCGGCTGTGAAACTAGGCGCCATTTTGGCTCACACACTGGGGAAAGGGGGGCATGTTAAGGACGTCATGGTGATAGGCCCGTTTGAGCCAAAATGGCGGCCAGCAGGGGGCCACCCCTCGGCCCCCTCCACGCACTCGCACTTTAGCCGCTCGGTTGTAGAGGACGGCGATGCTTTGCCAGCATGATGGGGAGTGGGGGCTCTGCAGAGGGTGATTGGGCCTGGCAGGTGTCCATGCACGTGCAGAAGAAAACAGGGGCATGAGGCGCACTCACTCACACAGAGCCAGACAATTACACTGGCCGCTTGGGTGAACCTCTCTCTGTGTTGCAGCGTCTCAGAGCAGCAGCAGCAGCGATCAGAGATGCTCACCGGGGGAACACTGCAAAACAAAAACCAGCAGCTACTCTACAGAGCCCTGGTACTCCCCGCTCTCCCCAGTTCCCCCTGCTTTCGCTCTGCGGTGCTGGGGGACTCTCACACGACAGAACAGTGAAGGGACTGATTTTGCACCTCTGGCTGAAGGGGTTCAGTTTGTTTCTTTTTATTTTAAAAAAATAAAAATTCATATAAAAAAACTAAGGCTTAAAAAAAAAATCCAGACATCTTTCCCAGGTTTTTCAAGGACAAGTATTAGGAACTGGCGTAGTAGAATAACTCGTGTAACCAGTAGTACCCCCAGTGCAGGGCGCTCTGGTCTACTCCAGGCTTTGTAACAAACACAAATAAGGCCGAGCGGCGGACTGATCTGAGCAATCTCATCCTGCCATTCCTCGGGGGATCCTGGGGCATCGGCCGCCGAGGCATGGTCAACAGCTTGTTCCACACACCCACCACCCTTTGCGTAAAGAAGCACCTTCCTTCCGTTTTGAATCCTGAACACAAATTGCAGATTTCAGGGCTCTTGTGAAGAAACTGATACTGGCTGCGCCAAAGAGCTCAAGTTTTTCCATCTTAATCTGAGTTATTCTGAGGGTCACCATAACTTTACTTACAATGAAAGGCACCACATTACACGATGATTAATGGCATCCATATGGTGTTTTACATCCCAAAGTTCTTTACATAAAGGAAGGGTCCCACCTCACCCCCACCGATGAGCAGCCCCGGCCCCCAGCAGATCAGGGGGAGCAGAGAGAAGCTGCAGCAGCAGGCAAATTAAAAGGGACTATAGGGAGGACGGACTGTCCAGCCCAGAGTGGAGTCCAGGCAGGACACCCTACTCTTCCGGCCTTTAATGACCAAGTAGTCAGAAAACACTAATATTCTGCCAACACAGCGTGCGGCTGGTAGGGCATCGGACTACTGCATGCTGGGAGAGAGATCTCCTGCCCAGAGCCACACACAGGAAGTGACCGGACTTACCTGGAGGAGCCTTCTCTCGGAACATCTCCATGCAAAGACCCTTCCGCCAAGCATTCCCATGGGAGAGCCTGGAGAGGGAGAGGGACACGTCAATCTGTGCAAAAGCCTTTTTTTTCCGCCCTGGGATCCTTCCCCCCTGCTAAACGATTCTGGGAAAGGCGAACGGTCCTTGTGAAGGCCGACCGAGTCAGTCGGTCTGTCCAGTCATGTTGGGGTCACAGGCAGACCCAAGCCCCGTCCTGACGCCGAGAGCAGGAGACACAGAACCCACGGGGACTTGGGAAGGGCAGGAGAGCTCCAAGCGGACCGGCGCCGAGCCTGGAGATCCCCAGAGTGGCGAGACAGCAGCGCTCGGCCCCGAGCCGCGATGAGGGACAGCAGCAGGGAAGGGTTAACAGCCTCGTTGAGGGGGCGGGAGCGGAGGGGCGGCAGAGCCAGCACAGCGTGGCCAGTCTGCAGACAGCGGCCTGGGGGCAGACCAGGCTGCCCGACCTCGGCTGCACTGGGAACAACGCCCAGCGCCTCACACAGCCGGGACCACCTGGGCCAGCAGGAGGATTTTGAAAGAATGGGACGCGGCGGGAGCGACCGCGCGGGGCCGGGCACACGGGGAGCTCGGCAGAGCTTCAGCGCCAGCTGTTCCATGTGCTTCACTTCAAAACTGCTCATCGCCATCAGAGATGGAGAGTGACTGTACAGACACTCAGTCCAGCTCCTCTGTATCTTCACATTCACACTCCTTCATCATCATCAGAGCTGGAGAGT